GGAACAGGACATTTGAGATTAAAATTAGACTAGATTATTCATTCTTTCTTCATATAAATCAAGAATTTTCTCCTGAATAATTGGTTCAATTGGGATTCTACAGGGTATTTGAGATTATAATTAAAAAATAATTGTGATGCAGAATTTAAAAGCAGATGATCTTACCTTCATTAACTTTAGTTATGATTATTTAAAACAATGACTAAACACTAAATTAAAAAATGGCATTATTTTTTAATTAAAATATTTTCCTATAAATTGCCATAAGTTTGAATGTAGAATAAATTATTAAATCATCATTGGAACCTTGAAATTAAACTTAAATTACCATATTAAGATCATTTTAGTCAAATAAAACTATATGCAAAATTTTGTGTGCAAAGATGGGTAAAAGAGGGAAAATATAAAACTAACGTTATTTTTGTTTAGGATAATATATATCTATGTATCTTCATATTATTAAGCCATAATAATTAGGATGCCCTATATAACTCCTCTTTCAATTGTATCTGACCCATCTTACTCGTCTCACTAACTAACGGCAGTGACGAAGCGTCCATAGAAGCAAGGGAAGCATTGCTTCCCTTGAAATTTTTCTTATAAAATTTTTAAATAAACTTAATATAATCTTTGTACTGTGCTAAATAAACTAAACTGACTTAAAAATTAATAATATTTTTATAACGTTAAAAAGATTAATATAATTTTTATAACGTTAAAAATTAATATTATTTTTACTATATTAAGAAATACTATTATTTTTACTACGTTAAAAAGTTACTATTATTTTTACTACGTTAAAAAATTTACTATTATTTTTTCTACGTTAAAAAAATGTGGTAATAGGAAAAAAAATCCCCGGAAAAAAACCCCCGGAATGGAAAAAAATTTTAAAAAAAAGAAAATCGTTATTTTTAAAAAAATTTTTCTTGTCAATTTTTCTTAAATTTTTTTCTCAATTTATTATTTTCTTCCCATTTTTGCTTTAAGTCATTGTTAATCTTTATTTTTCTGACCTTTTCTCAATTATTCTCTTCTCAATTTTCACTTAATTTTTTTAGTATAACATAGCAATAATTATTGATAAATAATTTTATAAGCGAATGCCAAAATCATTAACAGCTATTAAATTCCAAAAAAAAACACAAAATATTTACGAAAAAATATTCGAAGTAATAATGTCTAAATGTCAAGAACGGGATTTATTTCTTGATCCATTATATATAATGGATTTCGAAAAGTCTGCTATTAGCGCGGTTAAAACTGTCATTGGTATGATTATTAATATGTTAAATTATTTATATTTATTTTTTCAATTAGAGGATCACATCATAATCAGAGGATGCTTTTACCATTTGTGTCAAAGTACATAGAAAAATTTAAAAGCTAGGTCTGGAACGCCAATACAGAACCGATGAAGCCCTAAGCTTCTTTTGTAACATGATGGACGGCTTAGCATTTGTTCCTTTATGTGATATGGGCAATGCAATGGCATTCCTTAGATCGGTTACTCCGAGCAATGGTAAGAATATTCTTGAATATTTCGATAAAAATTACATCAATGGAGTATCAAGGGAGGTCACAAGAAGCAATTCTCAATCACAGACAGGTCAAATTGGGCCTCGATTTTCTTCAGAAACTTGAATCAGAGCACTCTATCCAACGAATAACTCATAAATAATCAATGCGAAGGTTCGAATCATCGTTTTTCTAATCTGTTTGTGAATAAACACCCATCAATCTGGGTATTGATTAAAAAAATGAAATGCGATATGGCTGCCGATGAAACCAAACTTGAACGATGGCGTGTAGGTAGTTGGACACTGAAAACAAAATCGCAGTGCTTAAACAAGAAAAAATGCTGATATTCAAATTGGTACTGGGAAAAAAAATATCCTAGTAAAATAACCCATGTATTAATTATTTTCGTAAAAATTTTTGCTATAGTAATAAATACAATATCCATCCTTAATTACTATATTAAGTAGACTAAATTTGACAAAATTTGCAATAAGATCTGTTTATTTTATTGAAAAATCATTATTATGTATATAATTTATTATTAAATTATATTTTTATAATATTTTTTTCTAAAATACTAATTTGTCTATACCTTATATAAATCCAAATAAAAATATACCGATATTATTAGATCTTAAGTAAATTCGAAAAAAAATTTCTGGGTTTTTTTTCCTGGGGTTTTTTTCCGGGATTCAAAAAATATACATGAGGGAAGTAAATTTAATATTGCTTATTTTTTTTAATAAATAAGGAAAATCATGCCATGGTATTGTGTAATTTTACCATTAAAAAATAAACATTGGGGAAGCAAATAAAAAAATGCTTATTTATTTAATAAATAAAAGAGAAGAAAATTTTTTTATATAATATTTTTTTCCTTACTTTTTTAAAATAAAAAATTTTTCGTTTTTAAAATCCATAATTAATGTTTAATAATTGTAATTGTATTATTGAAAATTTATTAACATTATCATTTAACTAAAGAAACTTTGGTGCGAAAAAATTGATTATTGAAAAAGGAAGACCAAAACCAATTTTACAAAACGTAAAAAAAGAAATCAAAACTTGCATCCGTAATTTTTCTATCGATAAATATGAAAAATATGAATAGCTCACTGGATGTGAATTTTCTAATTCTCTATATTGTTGGTCATGCCTATTATTTCCAAAGGAAAAATATGTTTGGAATGATAAAGGATTTTCGGATATAATTTTAAAGGCAGCTAAACGGCAAAGAATCAACCGCTCATTTGCAGTCGATGATTCAATTAAAAACATTTGGCCAAAATCGTATTGAAAATATGATAGATTCGATGCGCAAAATATTCATCGAACAGCATAATTCTAAAGTCAAATCAAATAGAGAAATATTGATCAACTCTATATGTTTTGTTGGAATTCAGGAGCTCGTATTCCATGGTGATGATGAATCTTCTAATTCAGTAAATAGAGGAAATTAATTAATTTATTTGCTCGCGGAAAAAAATTTACTATTGAAACATCATTTAGAAATAGTGCAGTTTTTATTGGACTATCAAGCAATATTGAAAATGATTTGATTAATTCTATTTCATATGTCTTTCACCAAAAAATATTAAATTCGTCGAATTGTTAGATATTAGTAAATTCCAAATAATCTCCCAAAATATTTATTAGATATTTTAAACGACACTTATTCTCAATTTTTCGACTTACACAAGCTGGAAACCGAATTAAAGGTAGTGTTTTGGGATGTTGAATTAGAAAGAAAAAGAATGTTAATGAAATACTTTTTTAATATGCACCGATTTGATGAAAAGTTTTAAAGAGTTATTTAAATTATGCAAATTCATCTTAACTTTGGCTTCAACAACAGCAAGTGCAGAACGGAGTTTTTCCTTTAAAAAGAATCAAATCTTATTGCAGAAACAGGATGAGCCAAAATCGATTATCGAATCTATCTTTGATTTCGATTGAAAAAAAATTATTAAAAAATTTAAAATCTAGCGATAACTTTTATAATGCAGTGCTTGATCCTTTTACTCAAAAACAAAGACACCACTTATTTATAAATCTTAAAGTTGGTTTGAGTTTGACAAAATAAAAAAAATTTTTTGATTGCTTCCCTAGTAGTAAACTTGAAGCTTCGTCACAGACTAACGGTAATATTATGCTTATAAATTTATGTAATAATTAAAACGAGAAAAACTAAACAATTATTGGAGGGAGTTTGTTAATTCAAATTTTAATCCTGTTATTAATAATAAATTATATGCCCAGTGGTGATTTTAACAACCCGTTTGGGGCATGATACGGGTCCCATAGTAAAATATATAAGGCGATTTTCAGTTTCAAATGATTAGCAAATCTCTAGTGTGGTTAAACGGCTCGATTTGAGCCGATTTATATATATGACTCAATATTTTGTGCAAAAAAATATTATATAAGCTTGGGCACAAAAGTTTAGACATCTATTAGTAAAATCTCGAGGCTTAGGCAATAGTTTTCTGACTAAAATATTAAGTTAACGGTTTTTAAATCGGCTCAAATCGAGCCATTTATAAACTCTTTCACGCTAATTCTATTTGTAAATTTGGTGTAAACATCATTAACTTTTTTATAATGACCAAAATATAAAACATCGGCATATAATTTCCTCTGCTGGTATATAAAGTAAAAATATGTTTATATTGCATTTATCATGCCGGCCAATCAGTTCATTCAAGCATGTCTTATTAGAATCTTATATCGTGACTATAAAAACCTCAACGAAATGTAAATATTATATAAAAATATAGAGTAAATTTAAATATAAAAACAAATCTAAGTCTAATTTTTCTAGTCAGTTAGAAGGAAAAACAGAATTTGGTGTTAACACAAAAAAGTGTGATGTTAATCCTCATAATGACTATTATTAGCAAAAAGCGATAATTATTCCCAAGGGTATGGGGGGCGGGGCTCCCCCAACTCATTCATTTTTGGAGAGGTTTCATAATGTAATCTGACTATGCAACCGTATACTTCCTTACTTTCAATAGAAATTTTGAAAAGTTGATCATAATAGGATTAATTTAGAGGTAAAATTTATATCAAGAAAAAGAAAATTCTAATTTTCTAAAATTTTAATCTTAGAAGGACTTTTGTTAAGTTGCATATGATGAAGTTCTTTTAATATAATTTCTGTTTTTTCATAATCATAATGCATATTTTATCAATAAAGATTTTATCTATTTTTCCTATTCTTTTGATTGCTTTATAAAAGTTTATAATTTTGAATACCCCATTTATGGGCAATTTCATAATTATACTCTGAAAAAAGTGGGCATAATGACAATTTGAGAAGGTCTGTCTTCCAGTTTGGAAAGGTTCTCATCATATTGGGCATGCCTTTATCACTATAAAGCGTTTTTTGGCAGTGTCTTTCTGAAAATAAAAGATGAAAAGGAAGTTTAACCTTCTCTAATTGCCTCATGCAAGCCAATATTTAAATTTTAATGTACCCTTCTAAGTGCAGGAGCCATCTTATTAGTAACAGTACCAGCCACTATGATAACATCGGCTTGCCTGGGGCTAGCTCTAAAAACCACACCAAATCTATCCATATCATAGCGAGGTGCTGCCATGTGCATCATCTCAACAGCACAGCAAGCGAGACCAAAAGTTAGGGGCCATAGTGATGTCTTTTATATATATATGTTTAATTAAGGATATTATAGATAAACATATTTTGCAATCTTAAATTGAATATTTAATTATATTACTTAAATATTCTACCTACCATATGTGTCCTATAAAATCTTTCTTGTGACTATCAATTTTACTGAATTGATATAATTCTCCTATAAAATCTTTCTTGTGACTATAAATTTTACCGAATTGATATTATAATTCTCCTATAAATTTCAAAGGGAGTTAAATAAACAATAAAAAAAAGTAATCCATAATTGTCATATCAAATGCCTGAACAATGTAATTCAACTGATCAGAAAACCCATAAAAGTTTTGTCTTACAAGCCTTACTACTACAAATACATGTTTTCAAGTTTTATTATGAATTTAATAGCTTAGAATAGAGAAAAATTTAGCAAATTTAAATGTGCAAGATAAGAAAGATAGTTGATTGGTATTATTCATATAAATTTTATCACTTCGGAGCATGAGAAATATTTAATAAAATTTGGTTTGGCTCCAAATTGGTAAAATTTTGAAAGGGATTCAGTTTAAAGCGGTTTCAAAATGTCTAATAAATTTCTTAAAATGTGATTAGATTTTTAAACTATAATATATTGGTAAAATAAAATTATCATATTTCACAAAAATTTGGTATTAGTTTTGTTTTAAGAAAAAAATATAAATATGATATAGCAAGGATTTCACCAATTACAATATCCTTTTATAATAAAGTATATTATTTGTATTTGAATACTACATTAGAAAGGCTCAATTTAGGATTGGTTTTTTTTTTAAAACCCACACACAGTTCCAGGTCTGGTTTTAAGCCCATTATATATTAAGATTAATAGTTAAATTCAGCATATTTGATATTCAGATTTTTTTATCCCTATTCATTTTTTTTACTGTAAAGTGTTTTAAAATTTATTTTTATTTTACTTTACTTTTTTAGTATACATCACCCCTGATATGTCTTTAGACTTTTTAATTATTATTTTAATAACTATATTTATTAAATCATTTATTGTATATAATGGAACAAAATAAATATGTGCTTAATAATATATCTTAGTATATATATATATATACATCATTACAATATAAAGAGTATAAAACAATGTCCAAAGGTGAAATCATATGATCATTCCTAAATGCCTCAAATATAAATTAAATATTTAAAATATGTCATTACCCTTCTTGCCCAATTTAATAAGTCATCAATTTTTGCAATGGCATATTCCAATGGTTTAGGATTTATAATTGAACTTGAAAATTTTGTAGGCTTAATTAATTTATCTTGTTTTGCTATTTCTTTTGAAGATGTTGTATATGAACATAAAAATAATTTATTCCCCCAGTTAGGTATGGACTTTATAAAAGATATTTCTGGATTAATATGTTTTGAGAATAGTTTCAAATTGAACAAATTATTTATAAGAATATTCTGCTGCTTAATTTTTAATAAGTTATTGGGTGGTTTTGGTAAAATCATTATTTTGAATTTTTTTTATGTGTGAAAGAATATTATTCACCCAACTAATTATACTGTTTTCCAAACAGGGTTATCAGGTATAAGTATAACTGTTAGTGCTTTCGGTGTTTTAAATTTTTTGATAAACAATGCTGTATATTTGATTACAAATTTTGTGTTTCAATCAATGACATACATTGGTTTCAATATTGGAATATATGGTTGGTGAGGTATTTATTCATTTCAAATATATTCAAAACTAAATATTCATTATTCTATTCTATTGTAACCAGCGTCTACATGAGCAGGAGGGGTAGGAACAATTTGCATCCTATTTTTTGAGGGGGGTAGGGGTAGGCAGGCTGCTTTAATGTGGGTAGGATAAGTTTTATTTTTCTCTTTTGCCCCTTCTTTTTTTTTTCTTGTCACATAAAATAAAATTAAGTTTTTCTTTTCACCTTCTTTTGTCTTATTGTAAATGCATAAAAATTAAATAAAGTTTTCTTTTGTTTTGATTTAAATGCTTTTAAGGTCCACATATGTTTTTTGTGTTTTCTTTTTACTTAGGGGTTTTACTTAATTTTGGAGTTTTTCAAAGGGTGTTCGGTAAACAAAAGTTAGATATTTAGGTCCGGGAGACAGCTCTGCATCCAGTGGTATAATTAGAGTTTCGGAATAAATTCAGCCACTATTTATGATTAACATCTCAGGGTGCCGATGGCAATGATATATATATCATTGGCCGGTGGAAATTTTTTAAGGGGAGCGCAAAAAATATTTTATTAAAAATACCATTTATTGATTTTTTTTGTGTTTCGTCATTTTGCTTATTTTTGCGTATTTACGTATTTTTGTACATTTCAAACGATTTTTAGTATAACTTTGTTTTATTTACTTTTCGAGGTTTAGCAATAATTTGATATTGGTTTAGATTTGTTATATAATAGAAATTTTAATAAATCAAAATACTGTTTAATTATATATGTGGCCATTAGATAGTAATTGTTGTTAAATTCGGCGTTGGCACTGTAGGGTTTGACCGCTGTTATATTTTATTCAATGTTATATATATCATTGATTTTATTATCCCTTTTTTTATTTTAATGTATCAAGAAGTTCTCTTTTTTTCATATAAATTTATTATTTTTTAATTCATAATCACATAATAATAATCACATCATATATCTTTTTTTTCTTCAATATACACATCTTTTTGAAAATATATAAAAAAAAGTATTTCCTAGAAAAAATCGATAAATATGTAAAGGAAAAAATTAAAAATAAATAATAATTCCGAGAATCAAATGATGAAAATAAAATAATAATAATTCGTAGAATAAATACAAAAAAAAATAATCGATAAAAGAAATTATATCTATTCATAACAGTATTTATAAGTTAAATTTTTTTAGTTCATTCACACTTATCTTTTAAATATATTCAATTTGAACTAATCGTATATTCAATTTAATTTGCACATTATAGAGAATTAAAAAAACCTTGGAATATTATTTATATTAATCATTATTCAATTTTTATTGTATAATATATATGTTGTAAATTTGAAACTTTAGTAGTATAGAGAAATAAATATATTTTGTAACCTTCTTTTATTAAAAAATATGTCTCCCTGACTACTTACATATAGAAATCTTACATATTTTCATCGTTAACCATTCTTTTCTTTCATTTTGTATAGTATAGTGTTATTTGATCGTGGTTGAGACATGAAGAATGTTTAAAAGAGATTTCTTAAAATAATAATCTTGATGATGCACTATATAATAGGGTTGGGCAGTATCGAGGATATTTGTATCTTTCTAAAATTGGAAATATCTTGTATCTAAGATACAAATTATTTAAAAGTATCTGTATCTTAATCAAACTTTGTATTTAAAAAGATGCAGATACTTTAAAATAAATTTATATTAGTTAATTTAAATAATATTAAAATTTAATGATATTATTTTAAAATTTATATGAAAAATTTAATCTGAAGATATTTTAAGATAATGTATAATATATGACGCTGGTCGTCATATAGCAATTTGCAAATATACCATATTTTTGAATCGTTTTAAATCCATCTATTTTAAATAATGATTGAAGAATAAGATAGAATAATATCTTTATCTTCGTCTGATCATTCATGCAGAAGAATATAATTATAAATTTAAATTAAGTATTTTAAATGGGAATTTTTTTCAAGTCACTCAACATGAATCTACTAATATAATATTAGAATTACTCCAGAAAGTAAAGAATGCCACAAATCTATAAGTTCCTCTGATTTAATTTTGTCAAGCATCTAAAAGTATAATTTATAAATTTATTATAAATTACATTTATAATTTATAATAATATTCATTATCATTTCATAGTCCATATTAAAATAAATTTTTATATTAAAATGGCATATAAAAATCATCTATGAAAAGGACTAAAAGCTTTCTTGGATTCTTGTAACTGGGTAATAAAATCGTGTGCTATTTTATTTAAAAATTCAATTAAATAAATTTATAAATAAGCTCTCAAAAGTTAGTTTACAAAGACAATCTCGGGCCCTTGTTGTAAGAAGATTTTTGAGAAGCCACACATATTATAAAATAGCAGTTAGTTGATGAAATCCATTGTGACTTTGGAATTGATGAAAAAATTATTGCAATTGTGACAGACAACGGATTTAATTTTATCAAAGCTTTTAAGCAGTTTGGATATTCTATGAAAGAAGATGTGGAGAATGATTTTGAATTTAATGAAGATGAATGTATGGAATTCGAAGTCATTGAAAGTATTATTTAATACTTCCTTTATTGCAAAATTTATAATGATATCGAAAATTTAATAAAAGATTTTATTTAAATAAATTATATATTTGTTTACATTTAAGGATCTAAAGAAGCATCTATATCATTTCCTTAGCACATTCGTTGTCTATGCCATACGATAAGCTTTATTATCACAACAGATGTCGAGAAAGCTATTAAGGATTCTCCTACCATTTCTAGAATTCATCACCCTGCACTAACCAAATGCATTAAGTTATGGATGGTAGTGTTGTTAATCACCCTGCACTAACCAAATGCATTAAGTTATGGATGGTAGTGTTGTTAAACGGCTAAGCCGAGTCGACTTAGCTGCGACTCAAGCCTAGTTTCTAGTCGATAAAACGAGTTTGACTCGAGTCGACTAAATGAGCCGCATTGGTCGGCTCATTTAGTCGGCTCGCTTAGTCGGCTCGTTGGGTCTGCTCAATTTTTTTGTTTTTTTATAAAATCTGGTAAATTGCTAAATTTTGGGGAAATGATTAATGTGAACAAAATTATAATAAGAATATGTTGTTTTAGTTTTTCGTATTTTTTTGGCATAAATGGGTTAAAATAAGTATTGCTAAGGCTAACATGTTTAAATAAAATTTTAGTGAAGATGTACCATTGATAAATGACAATTGTCATAATCGTTGTTTTTAAAGTTTTTCGAATTTTTTTGATGTAAATGGGCTAAAATAAGCATTGCTAACATGTTTAAATGAAATTTTAGTGAAAATGTACCCTTGATAAGTGACAATTGTCATAATCGTTGTTTTTAAAGTTTTTTGTATTTTTTTGATGTAAATGGGCTAAAATAAGCATTTCTAACATGTTTAAATGAAATTTTAGTGAAGATGTACCCAAGATAAGTGACAATTGTCATAATCGTTGTTTTTAAAGTTTTTCGAATTTTTTTGATGTAAATGGGCTAAAATAAGCATTGCTAACATGTTTAAATGAAATTTTAGTGAAAATGTACCCTTGATAAGTGACAATTGTCATAATCGTTGTTTTTAAAGTTTTTCGAATTTTTTTGACGTAAATGGGCTAAAATAAGCATTGCTAACATGTTTAAATGAAATTTTAGTGAAAATGTACCCTTGATAAGTGACAATTGTCATAATCGTTGTCTTTAAAGTTTTTCGAATTTTTTTGATGTAAATGGGCTAAAATAAGCATTGCTAACATGTTTAAATGAAATTTTAGTGAAAATGTACCCAAGATAAGTGACAATTGTCATAATCGTTGTTTTTAAAGTTTTTCGAATTTTTTTGATGTAAATGGGCTAAAATAAGCATTGCTAACATGTTTAAATGAAATTTTAGTGAAAATGTACCCTTGATAAGTGACAATTGTCATAATCGTTGTTTTTAAAGTTTTTCGAATTTTTTTGATGTAAATGGGCTAAAATAAGCATTGCTAACATGTTTAAATGAAATTTTAGTGAAAATGTACCCAAGATAAGTGACAATTGTCATAATCGTTGTTTTTAAAGTTTTTCGAATTTTTTTGATGTAAATGGGCTAAAATAAGCATTGCTAACATGTTTAAATGAAATTTTAGTGAAAATGTACCCTTGATAAGTGACAATTGTCATAATCGTTGTTTTTAAAGTTTTTCGAATTTTTTTGATGTAAATGGGCTAAAATAAGCATTGCTAACATGTTTAAATGAAATTTTAGTGAAAATGTACCCTTGATAAGTGACAATTGTCATAATCGTTGTTTTTAAAGTTTTTCGAATTTTTTTGATGTAAATGGGCTAAAATAAGCATTGCTAACATGTTTAAATGAAATTTTAGTGAAAATGTACCCAAGATAAGTGACAATTGTCATAATCGTTGTTTTTAAAGTTTTTCGTGTTTTTGATGTAAATGGGCTAAAATAAGCATTGCTAACATGTTTAAATAAAATTTTAGTGAAAATGTACCCATAAATAAGTGACAATTGTCATAATCGTTGTTTTTAAAGTTTTTCGAATTTTTTTGATGTAAATGGGCTAAAATAAGCATTGCTAACATGTTTAAATGAAATTTTAGTGAAGATGTACCCTAGATAAGTGACAATTGTCATAATCGTTGTTTTTAAAGTTTTTCGTATTTTTTTGATGTAAATGGGCTAAAATAAGCATTGCTAACATGTTTAAATGAAATTTTAGTGAAAATGTACCCTTGATAAGTGACAATTGTCATAATCGTTGTTTTTAAAGTTTTTCGAATTTTTTTGA